TAAAAGCGTAAACCTACTACTTACTTTCAATCCTCTACTTTTGGTGTTAGATCGCTAAGAATATATGACAACATACCTTAGTGTAGCAATAGCATAAATTATTGCTTCATATTGATGCTTAATGAATGGCATGTTTTACAATTCTCTTCAATTTTATTCAAGCCTCTTCACATGTAGCTCAGTATACAAATTAAAAAATAAACTTTGAGCAATACTTTACAAAACGTATATAACCTCACTTTGAAACCAAACGAAACCCTCCTCAATCTACATAAAGCGTCACAAACATCTTATTCGAGTAAATAAACTAGGTGGCGTTCGCAGATGCATCCACAAAATTGAGCGGAGTCATCAAGGGTTCATATTACATTGTTTTTGTCATACTGCAGTAAAAACAGTCGTCATTGGTGCATGCGTTGCGGGTCTAAAGTAGCATTTTTATTCTTTAGGGAATAAAATTCGTTTAAGCCTCTATGGAGTAAAACTCAGCGGTTGTCAACTCAGTTGTAAATTTCTATTGTAAATGATTGAATACGTATCGAAATATGTAACGATTCGTGCTTCATAATCATTTTAACCTTCAGTCTACAGTCTCTTCCCATAGCATTTTAGAATTGCCGATACATTAATCCATTCCCACACTCAACACTGCCCACCATTACTACTTCCTTCACCACCCCCTACGTCGTGGAGCTGTTTCCCTCCCTTCCCATAGCATTTTAGGATTGCAGATACATTGTAATTGCGAAAGACAGTTCCCACACTCTGCACTGCAAGCCTTACTACTTCCTTCACCATTTCCTACGTCATAGACCTGTTTCCTTCCTTTCTCATAGCATTTAAGTATTAGATACATTTATCTAACTGCCCAAACGATTCCCTCACTCTGCAATGGCAGCCTTTACTACTTCCTTCACCACTTCCTACGTCGTGGGGCCTGTTTCCTTCCCTTCTCATAGCATTTTAGGATTGAAGATACATTAATCTAACTGCCACAGACGGTTCTCACAATATGTTCATACTTTACTAATTCCTAGGCCACTTCCTACATCGTGGACCTGTTTTCATCACTTTCCATAGCATTTTAGTATTTTAGATACGTTAATCTAATTGCCACAAACATTGCCCACACTCCGCACTGCTAGCCTTTACTACTTCTTTCACCATTTTCTATGTCGTAGGCATGCTTCCATCCCTTCTCATAGCATTTCAGCATTGCAGATACATTAATCTAACTGCTACCAGTTCCCAAACTCCACACTGCTCACGTTACTTCTTCCTTCACCTCTTCTCACGTCGCAGACCTGTTTCCCTCTCTTCCCATAGCATTTTAAGATTTTAGATACCAAGATTCTTAATCTAATCGTCATAACAGTTCACACCCTCCGAAAAACTCGCCTTTACTGCTTCTTTCATCACTTCCTACGTGACGGATCTGTTAACCTCCCTTCCCTTAGCATTATTGGAATGCAAATACCTTAATCTATTGGTCATAAACAGATCCTACACTCCAGGCAGCTCGCCTTGACTACTTTCTTCACCACTTTGTACATCGCGGACCTGTTTTCCTCCCGTCCCATAGCATTTTAGGATTGTAGATACCTTAACCGAATAGTCATAAACAGTTTCCGCACTCCGGACAGCTCGCCTTGACTTTTTCCTTCACCACTTCCTACGTCGCGGACCCGTTTTCGACCCTTCCCATAGAATTTTAGGAATGCAGATACCTTAATCTAATCGTCATAAACAGTTCCCACACTCCGGGCAGATCACCTTGACTACTTCCTTCACCACTTACTACGTCACGGACCCGTTATCCTCTCTTCCCATAGAATTTTAGGAATGCAGATACCTACCTAAATCTAATGGTCTTAAACAGTTTATACACTCCAGAGACTGCTCACCTTTACTACTTCCTTCACCACTTCCTACGTCACGGACCTCAAGCTAGTGTCTTCATTTGATTATATTTATGATCCATACCACCGTTTATGTTCTAATATCTGTGGAATAATGCTATCAGCTATTTATTTATCTACTGCATTCAAAAGTCAACAGCTGATCATATGTCTTTGTTTTTGTGTCAAATACTGCTTCCATAAGGATTACATTGAAACTTTGAGACCCAGTGGGGCGGATCCCTGAGAGACTTTTTTAACGCCATATAGATGTTGGCACTCACCGATATGGTCTTTATCACCATGCAAAATATGAAAACAATTGATTCAGCCATCTAGGATGAGTTGGTGTATTACGAAATGCATAAAAGTCGACGTATAAGAGCTTCGCTCAACAAACACCAGTTCATTGTACTGGCCAGCTGTTTCATTAACTAAATTAAATTAATCATGTAAACATTGGAAGCATGCTAGACGTAGCCCTTTAGAAATAAGCCTGTGGGACAGAGCCCTTAGGAAATTGGTCGAAATCAATACTTTTCGGCAAATCTACAAACTCTAAGCTTCATTTTGATGTGCCATATATATGCCTATATTTTTATTTGGTAAATGACCTTAACCGTTTACATAAAATTTGATTGTATCACTTTAATAATATAATAGACTAGCTGTACCGGCGGGCTTTGCCCCGTTTTACTTCATAAGTGAGCTCGTTCGCATGGCTCAATCACGTCCTGGTTGAAGTTCACTACGCTCACTCACCTTTAGGTTGGAGCTCGTTCGCTGCGCTCACTTGCCTTCTGGTAAGCTCGTTCGCTACGCTAACTCGCCTCCAGGTTGAAGTTCGTTCGCTACGCTCACTCACCTTTTGGTTGCAAATTAGCTGTTGTCATAAATTAAAAAAAAATAATAGTGCTGCACCCTGTTGGTAATACTTGTAACTTTAATGCTATTGCACATCATAGAACAGAACCAACTTGTTTAATTGAAACAGCTGTTAAGATTCATTAATTCCATTTTAATATGAGTACCCATAAGGTTAACATGGGAAACTCCAGAGCCACTGGGGCGGAGCCCGAGATTCCGATCAGAATAAAAACAACTTAGTTTTCCTATTTAATGCCTAAAGAATCAGTGTACCAAATTTCAGCCTCCTAATACATAGGAAGTGGGAGAATTAGTGATGAGTGAGTGAGTGAGTGAGAGAGTGAGTGAGTGAGTGAGTGAGTGTGTCAGTCAGTGTGTCAGTCAGTGAGGGCTTTGCCTTTTATATATAGATACTCATAAGGTTAACATGGTGAACTACAGAGCCACCGAGGCAGAGCCCGAAAGGATTTTTGAGATAAGAATATGCCTATATGTTGAGAGGGGATGAACTTGTTAGAGTAAAGCACGCGTAATTTCGGCTCCGCGATATTCTCAACTATCTAAGTTAATTACATAGATATCGCTAGTGACTTATTTCGCAACGCTTTTACTTCAGAGTGCGCTAACTAATGCAATAGTGAGTACTGGTACTTAGTGTTTTAATGACTTTTTTTAAAACATAACTAAACAAACATAACCTTCAAGTGTTCATGATCCGGACACCTCAGAACCTGCGGTCAGGACATAAGGGCAAGTCAGGGCTGCTATCTGCCATGGAGAAGCGGAACGTCCAACGCTCCTTATCAGCGCCGTCTCCAACCGCCAGCGCCAGCCCGCCTCGTCTGTCACAACCATCGATGTATAATAACTCCCAACAACATCGATGTGTAATAAGGAAATGAAATTATTTGGAGCTATTCGTGATTTAATCATGAATAGCTAATAATTTCAAATAATAATATTAACAAATAATAATAATAATAATAACAAACAATTTCATTTCCTATAGCTCAGAATGCTAAACTAAAATATTGAATTAGGTGATAAGTGCAAAGATTTAGTATTTATAAAATGTCGCACAGCTAAGGAGTTTCGAAATATTCATATGGCCCGATTTCCTAATCCTAGCTAGCTTTACGTTACTTTATCAAAAAACGCTACTGTATTCGGTCGCAGGGTTGTAAAGGTAGCCGTGGTTGTAAAGTAATAAAAACTGAATGTAATTTCTCTGAGCACATATTAAATCATTTAATGTGCTCAGAGAAATAACATTCAGTTTTTATTCAGATTGAATATGAAGCTTCATGACTTTTAATACAGCCTACCACTAAGCAAACAAGAAAGGAAAAAGGTTATGTTCTACTTTGTTTTTCTTCTATGGCATACTGTGGACTAAATGACAGAAGAAAGAAAAAAATATGGTATTTACTCAGGGGAGGTGTAGATGAGCTTACGATGACAGCTGTGGGCTTGTCATTAGCTGAGGGAACACCATCACCGTAACATCACGGATTGTATCGGCCTCGGTGGGCTAGTGGTTACCGTGCCGGGCTGATAAGCTGAGAGTCCCGGGTTCGACACTAACTTTTTGACTAAGATTTTTTTCATTATCAGCAAGCTTGGTTGGTTTGGTTCGGTTATGACAGTTTAATTTTATTATTAAGTCATTATAAAATGTTAATTGAGCAATTTCTAGTTTTAATTGACGAACAGAATTATTTTTTCTATTAATATATTTTTTTTATTATTTCATTATTAGCAAGTTTGGTTAGTTCGGTTAGGTTACCGTATGATAGTAATTTTATAATAAAAAAATTATAGAATTGAATTTGAGGCATTTATAATTTTATTTTATGAACAGAACTACTTTTGCGATTAGTAAACCTTCATTGTCAAAATGCTCTCTAGGCCTACTACCATAGATAAAAGGAGTATAGACAAAAGTTGTCTACTCCTTTTATTTATGCTACTACTGCGCTGTTCACGGAGGAATTTTGAACTACAGTAATGCCTCAATCGTACCTCCCCTAAGTCAGAGTCAGACCCAAAAAATACAATAAAGCGGGCTCGACTCGCGGGCTTTCACTTCAAGTTCAGTTCCAGCCAAGCCAGCAGACTTTCATTCGGTCTGTTTTGTTTTGTTTATTGTCAGGTTATAATTTTCATTTTTCAGTTGTAGAATTAGAATAAAAACTTGAAATGAAACAAACTACTGGCGTAATGTAAACCATCTATATCTATGGATCTATGCGTTCTTTCAAAATATTTCGTGAAGTAACGAAGTATCCCCATTAATGCGTACAACGAATTGAAGCTGAAGATATGAGTAAACTGGCTGTTCTTGTCAACAAACTAGGTTAGAAACATTATTTAATAAGATATTTAATTAATTTAATATCCTAACACACAAATGCACAGGTCTATTAGGGCCTATCTGTAGTAAAATTCTTTGCCTAGATAAAGATAACGGAGCCTTCACTTTGCTTTGCTAGTTGGGAAACAAAACAAACCTGTAGATAATTCAAGCCTAAATTGTTCTAAATCAGACTGGACTTACAGTAACATAATTAATGCAATAGCCTAGTAGTCTATTAACCAACTTAATACTTTGATACTTTTCAATTAAATGGCGATCATACAAAGTAGATACTTTAAGCCAAGTAGGAATGGAGATGAGTGTAGGATGAGTGGCGCTATCTTGTAGTCTTGTTAGGTCTAGTGACTAAGGCCGACATATTCCTTAGACACAGCTGTTAATTAATAGCCAATTCAGCTAATAGCAACTAAGGGACCTACAGTTTATAGTGGAATCCGAACCACATTTTTGCCTTGGTATTAGCAAATTGGTCTAATTATCAGGATAGTACTGTGGATAGTCGTAGTGCTCACTAGTGCACACATTAATCCACACCAGGGAGTATCGCATCCGCAGTGCATGCCTTATCCACAATTCGTTACGACCTAGTAGCTGGATTACAGGACGTTGCCACCGTCCCAGTCTGTTAACTTGTGCTGAGGAAACTTGATCGCCCTAACCCCTCACATTAAAGGTTTAAAATTATTTTTTTTTTAATTTTTTATTTTACATCTAGAATCTAGACCTGGTGGGTACCTCAGTCTTCACCTACAGTAATCCGGAGGCTAAACAACTATTTTTAAAATTAAATTGGCTTCAGCTATTCCATAAGGATGATAAATCTACTAAAGGAAGTATGTTTTACCTATGGTAAAACTGTAGGCCTAGTTAGGCCTATATATTTTTTGAAAATTATTAACTTTTGAAGCGTGTTACTATAATTTATAGTAACGGTACAGGATTCATAGGATCGTTAAGGCTCAATATAATCAATCTAGTGTTGCGAGCGACATTCTGAGTTGAAAAATAATGATCTTAAATTAATTACTGAGCCAAACCACATCCATATCACAGCCAGTTTGATGACCTAATATTACTAATGCATCTAAATATTAATTTAGGTCGGGAGTGTTGCACGACGTCCAAGTGCCACGACGTCCAATAATATTTTTCCAGTGCCACGACGTCCAAAACATAATTTTTGAGTTGTTGCACGACGTCCAAGTGCCACGACGTCCAAAAGTACAGTAACTGCCAAAAATATAGTCTTTCTACAAGCTTTGGACGTCGTGGCACTTGGACGTCGTGAAACAGCGCACTGTAGAATTGTAAAGAAGTATCATTTGCACCACGTCCAAAGCCTCTGCCAGTTGCACGACGTCCAAGTGCCACGACGTCCAATCAATATTTGACTGTTGCACGACGTCCAAGTGCCACGACGTCCAAAGTGCCTGCACACTGTGAACACTGTTTGCCGACCTCAGTGCATACAGTTCGCATTGCAATTATTGAAGGCAACTTGTCCTAGTCAACTGTTTGAAAGTTGTCAACCGCTTCGTCTTCGATTAATGTTTAAATTATTCGATATTCAATGGTTCTAATTGAACTAATTATTGCATTAGCTTAAATTTTTTATATGTAAAATAAATACTATGTCACCGTAAAATGTAATGATGCAGTATTTCTGTTGTTATGATTGCATAATTGATTTCTACAAAATAGAGCTATGTCATAGAAACGAAATAAATAAATGACTACACTATTCACTATATTGTATGATTAATACAATAAATTAATCACTAGCCCAAAAGTAAATATGGTTGGTTTAATGTGAGTAGTGGTAGAATTCTAAGTAGAATAGAATTGTCATACTATATCATTTGGTAGCAAATTTACTGGTAAGATAAAATGTATGCACAGTTTTATAACAGCTGTAAGACTTCCCATTTAAGTACCGGTATCATTGAAATTGTATAACTTCCATTGAACAGAAATGAGATAAGTAGATATTGATACACAGATATATGAATTTTCATACACTTATAATATGACGAATTCAAAAAAGTTTTATCCGTCAAATGTGCTAAATATTATGTAAACTATCAACTTTTTAAGCTATAATGATGTTACTACAATGGTTAAAAATGTTTCCTGTGAAACAGTGGGAATAATTCGTTTTAAAAGAAATCATTCATCATGGATATAGGAAATAATTAAGATTCTATAATCATTGCCCTATCAACCTAGGCCCTTTTCCTGAGTGTTATGAGGTTTATGTTTTGATTTATTTTTGTGTAAACCGTAATATAATCCCCCTGCCACAGCAAATCTTTAGACTGAATTTCCATTTGCCTGATTATATAATTTCACTAAAATATGTTAGAAAATTACCCTATTTTCCCTATTTATTTATATTTTCCTATTTTTCCTATTTGTCGGTTTGGAACTATTGTGATAGCTTTTTGTTTCAGTGCAAACCATGGATGTATGGATGGATGGATGGATGTTTGTGGCAAGCAAACGCGAAAAATACTAAACCGACAAGGTTGAAATTTCGTATGATGATAGATGACATCCCCGATTAACATATTCTTACCTCAAAAATTCTTTCAGTCTCCGCCCCGGTGGCTCTGGCTCTAGACTTTCTCTAGTTAACCTTATGAGAATTCATATTTAAAGAAATTAAAGAATTTTGTCAGCCGTTTCAACTGTACAAGTTGGTTCTAGGATATTAAACAGCATTAAAAAGTTATAAGGCTTGCCAAACAGGGTGCAGCACTATTATGTTGTTTGTTTGCATTAATGACCACAGCTAATTTGAACCAACAAGCAAAAAAAAAGTTGTGGTATACAATGAGAACTTTACTTTTTTCCATGGTCTAGGTGCAGTGGTAGAACATCAGGACTATGGTAGATGTGTGCTACACAATAGGATACCGTATAAATTAAAAGACAATTTTTTTTAAATCGTGTCCTCTCCCATAACTGCAATAAGCATTTATACTTATATGTCAACCCCGTACGAAGGACGGGTACTCTGCTAGTAACACAATAATACAAATACAGTATACTAATACAATAATACTGTAGGTTTTCGTAGTCTGTGGCCATAGGTTCATCTGAACTGTCAATCAATTCTGAGAAATTCACAGTTGTAAATTCTTACTAGTCTTTTTCTATGTTCACGTCGCACTCGCAATTAGTTCGCATGTTTTATCTAGGAAAGCAGGTATGCCCTAAGTCATAGCATTTGTAGGTTAAGTATAATAATAACAAACATGCTTATCGTAGGTTTGTAGGCATACTTGTTCAAGAATATGCCGTGGTAGGTTTTGTTTATAAATTTTATGTTTTAATTCTTGTCTAATGACAATATTGATTTGTATTAGTGCGAAAATGTTAATTTATTTGTCAAGGGCATGAGCGGCCCTCTAGTCTATGTATGTTACATGAAGCACAACATGAAAAAGAATAAATTAAAGGAAGGTAAAAAACGGATCAGTTTTTTTTTTTTTTTTTTTTAAAGAGGTTGGCGGCCTCTTTTAACCTTACATTTGCCCGTCCACATAGACTACAGATCTGTGCGTGGAACGTATCCAGCAAAGCAAGGGGTGAGCCGGTACAGTACAAAGGTGAACTGTACTGATAAAAGTTAGTGGCAGTGACCAGGATCCGAACCCACGACACTACTGCCTTGGGCCCGAAGTCCGCGACGCTACCGACTGAGCCACCGACTCACCAATCATCAGTTGCTGAAGGTCTAAATCTCGGAGGTTCTAATCAGACCTTCGACACACATTTTGCAGTTTGTACTTGATGCTGAGGATCCCATGAATCCTGTTATGTTTCATTCAAACTACAAGTTTATTACTTTTCCGAGAACCAGCCTTTATCAGGACTTCCGCTCCCACGCTAGTTGGCAACATCAACTGTGCTATATGAAAACAATAAATCTTGAGTAAATATACTGTAATGTTGAATTTTGAGGTTGTGGTGTTCCTTCGTAAACACATTCAATTATAATCTAGGAATATGTAAATCTATTGTTATATGTTAACTTTATTGATATTCGATTCTCTACAGTACTATTAAACCTATAACATTTTCAATTCATGTGCGTTGTATTTTAGAGTTGGGGAAACAAAAGAACCCTGTGTACAACTTATTTATATGATACTAGCTGTGTGCCCGTTCTACGCACGGGGATCTTAAAGTAGTCAGTTGAAACCTTCTTATATTAAGAAAAGCAGTTGGTTTGCATATTTTCAGATATGCTGGCAAAACTATTATATATAAACCTTCGCAAATACAGTATCTGACAGTTTCAAGCCAAAACAAATGCTTCGCAATTAAATGTCACCCGGATCGTGTTGGTCCATATGTTAAATCCAATGATTAAACTAAAAAAAGCTTTATAGGCCTAGATCTATGAGGCATAGCCCTAAGGCCTATAGTTGAAAGTTACTTCCCACAATGGTTAAAGGTATTTAAATTACTACCTCAACCTCACCATTTAACACTTTATTCGGGTTGACATTTTCATTATCAAGGTGCTCTTGTCCTTTTCGTGACACTGAGAAATAAGGACATAAATGCGTTACCAACAGACATACACACAAAAATACAGAACTTAATTAGGGAATTTGCTACGTTTTAAGCATAACAAAGTACATATACAATTAGAATTTGAAATCTTTGTCAATGTCATAAAATTTTATCATAACAATTTATATTTGCTTGGACCGAAGATGACCCGAAATTCTGTCGAAATGACGGCTTACTTTATAAAATGAAGTACTATAGACAATTTAGATTGGTAATTTAACCTATAATAAAAATTACCAAAATAGGCCACGAACTATTGATACATAAACAACGTAAATCGTAAACAATTCATGATGGTTTGCTAAACAAATGTTTTACTTAAATGAGTTATCATTTTCTTAGCATAAACTAACATTTTGGAATCCAGACAGAAAAAGCAATACAGTTAAGACATC